CGAACCTCACTTCTTCCAACTCCTGAATCACTCCGTCATACATCCGAATACGAACGGTACCAATACCACCAATAGAGCATGCATGTTCATTACCCATGAGAACAACATCCCCTCTTTCCTAGGGCAAACGTGGTATGAAGCACCCGAATCCAACATCCACTCTGTAGAGTTGGCAACACAAACTGACGATAGTGCAGACAACGAATAGCCCGAAGAATCCGAATCTGAATTGTCGCCACTATTCTTGACAACATTCACCTCTGAAGCTCGTACAGCTTTCTCCTTATTCTTCTCGGCTCGATCTAACTTTGGGCATTCCGCTTTCTAATGTCCATCATTTTACAAAAGGCACACTGATTCCTACGAATCCCACGATGTGCACCTCTAGACTGTGACCTCCTGCTTCGGTTTGAACCACGACCATGAACTACTAATGCATCTCCCGATGCCTTCTCGGAGGACTCATCAACATTCTTCCTCAACTCATAATTCACCAACGCTGAGGTCACCTCCTTATAACTAACAGTAGTTCTTCCATTAATCATAGTGAGAACAAAAAGCCGATTCTCAATGCTCTTAGTAAGATACTTTTCATTGAGTGTTTCCCACATCTTCTTCGCCGACGTCTCGTTCATCACGTCATAAATAAGATCCGGCGTCAAGCATGACCGAATAACTCCACACGCCCTACTATTCATCTTCTTCCAAACCTTAGCTTCCATCTCGGTAGGTTTCTCTTGTAACTCAAGAGTCTCCTCCAAATTCTGAGCGTCCAAGGCGTCCATCACCTGACACCTCCACAATCCGAAATTAATCTTACCGTCGAACTTTGGAACATCAATCTTCATGTTATTGATGCTCAAACTATGTATCGTCTTCGTAAGAGACGATCCCGATGTGTTTGTTTTACCCATGTTGTCGATCTAATCTTCAAATAGGAATCCTTCAGCGAATCCTTCAAACAAGCTCCCAAATCTAACCCGGAGCTCTGATACCACTTGTTGTGCGCAGCGGAAATTTCGACAGCACCTCCGGTGCGCAAGGTGCACAACAAGAGATTAGATCACAACGGAATTCTTGTTTCTCAAAGGAAACAAGAACCGAAAGTCAGATATCTCATCAAAGTGAGATATCAGCTCTTCCTCTCGTCAGCTCTAGGACTGCGCGTCGAGGGAACCTACAAGCTATTACAAATCACGGCAAGAACACAAATTTTACGTGGTTCGGCAAATCGCCTACGTCCACGGGACAAGGAGGGGGGAGATCTACTATTAGAGGGAGAGAATACAACTGGGGTTTACAATCACTCAATCTAAACCCTCACACAAACTCTCAAATCCCTCACACAATTATCTCTCTCAAATCGGCTCTTGCACGCCACCCAAAAGAGAGAACAAAACTGCTGTTTTCCCCTCTGTCCGTGCTTGCACGCTGCCAAAGAAAGGAACAAAAGCAACTGCAGCTCTCTGCGCACGCAACCCAAGGACAGCCTCCTACCTCCTGCTGCACTTCGCACTTGTGCGCCCTATACTTGCTTCGTGCTCCTGCTCTTTTCTTTTGCTGCCGCCAAAAGAACTCCTCAATCTGCACACGCCTCCAAGCTGCCAAACCCTAGAATGATTAATAGGGTATATATAGTTGTTTGAGAATCGGGTGGGCCTGTTTATTCACGCGGAAAACAAAAGCAGCATTGCTGCTCCTCACGTGACTTTCCCAAAAGTCGTGGACCGCACTCCACGTTCACAATACTGACAGAGCAACTCTTTTCAGTTTGTTTTTGTAGTTTCTTCGCCGCAAATTCCTGTTATACCATATCATAATCTGATTCCAAGAGTAAGATCTCCAATTGAATTTCATCCATTCCATAACTTTGTTCCAGACACAAGCAGAATACTGACATTTGAAGAAGATGTGCTGACAGGTTTCAGCTTGATGATCAGTTGAGCACAAAACACACTGGTTTGAGTTAATCATCCTCATATTACACAATCTATCTTGTGTGAGCAGTCTAGAGAGGGATGCTAGCCATCTGAATTCATCAAGTTAACCACATTACGAGAAATATGACTTGAAAGGGCTTCTGCATGCTTCAGATTATAATGGCCTGGTCAGCGACAATTTCTTTTGTCAATTAAATTTGGTTAACTTTTAGCTTTTCCCCCCCTCGACATTCATCCCTAGTTTCAGATTTAATCCAACAAGAATACCATTTTTCTCTCCCTGGTTCCGAATTTGACTACTTATCTGTATTCAGGATATGCCAGTACAATATGGTGGTATAAACTTAGTTGTCTATCTTACAGAGTTGAACGAAAATAGCATGCACAAAGCAGATTACACCTGTGTTTCTGTAAGTTATGTTTAATGTTTTGCTTTTTTTTTGTTCCATCCAATTGTGTAAGGAAGGGAGGAAAAAGAAAAAAAGGTTCCTTCGGGTAAATGTGCTTTTTCTGGAATGGCCTTTCTCTATTTGGGAAGGTTTATCATTCCCTTTGGGAATTGTACCTGCAGCATGATTTTCCATTACCAATTTTTATCTGGAAAACAATTGATCAATTGAGTAGCTTGCTGTTATATAAAGTTATTAAGCTTTGTAATTCAGTAATTCCATCAAACTCATCAATTGACCTCCTCATATTGGCTAATATAAATATGTAGCAGTAACACATGTGTCTGAGTGACTTGACTTGGTGTCGAGCCTCAAACATGGACACATTTCAAACGTCTGATATCAGGGTGTCACTATATTTGCAGATCTACATGCATATATGCAAATCACCATTTACTTTAGGCGCTCATTCGATACCACCTAGCGATAGTGTCTTGCCTACCATAGCCACAAGTTTGCAACCAAATTTTGCTATAGCCTTGGTTTTATTATTTAAAATGCCGCTTGCAGTGTATGAAAACTGTCATCTAGAGTTAAATTTTTTTTTTGAAAAATGAACAAACTACAGTCTCGCTTTTGTGATGGATAGATGTGTTTGGCGTAGATAATTTTTCTTTTTTAACACAGGTTTCTAGAAGGGCTTGGAGAAATTTGTTATATAGAGAATCTGTTAAGTGATTTCAAAGTTGAAGACCTAAGAAAATTGAAATATTTTAATATTTGTATCATCATGTTTTATCCTGCTTTGGCTTGTACCATTACGTTTCAGTATGTATCATGTTTTATCCTGTATCACCCAATTTTGGTCTGTTTGCTGAAATAGATGGAAATGCTGAAATAGATGGAAACGGGACAAAACGTCAAATAAACTTAAAAGGGGAATGTTAGAGAACAGAAGTTTAGTGACCAATGTATCTTCCTTGTGAGATTACAAAGAAAATGTTAAAGATATATGCATATATTCATATATATTATACTTATATATATGCTATATAAAATATAGGTGTACATATTTTACTTTACAGGTAATACACATAGACACGAATGTGTACATGGTGAACAAAAACTGCAAAAAAAAAAAAAAAAAATCTACAGGGATATATGCATTTGCCTGCATGTTGGTCACTGTAACCGATATTTAACACAACCATGTGATGTAATCTATCAATGTCTGTCCACTGAGTTTGCCCACCTCTTCAATAATTCTTAACTTGGAGTCTTCGATGAAGTCGGTGCCAGAGCAGTTACTTTGCCCTAACCATGGGGATCAAAACCTACTGTCACCATTATTGCGAAAATTCTCGTCAGTTCAGAAAGAAATTATTATTATTATTATAAAGTGTTGTTCTGGAACCTTTGCAGCTTTCCAAGGAACATAGCGTCATTCGTTATATAACTTGCAAGTAGCTATTGTTACCATGACATTTCTCTTTATATTACATAAACTTATTTTTTTTACTTGAGTCATTAGAAAGGAAGTATATTTGCTGTGATTATATGTATTTGCATATATTTGTTTTATGTATTTTTCAATTTTTTTACAACATGAACTTGTAGCTTAATGTTCACTGGTTATAAAGTTATACCAATCTAAATGCAAGATAATCAATACATACTCATTATTATTCTATGTGAGAACGTTCTCCACTGTGATTAAATATCCGAGTTTTCCTAGGGCACATCGAACTGATTTTGGGGTCATATCTGAGAATATACGTGTCGCATCCTATATATTAAGTTTTTTCGCAGGAAAACTGGCAAGCATTTCAAAAAGTACCAGTTTTTCTTTTAGCTTGTTTCTTATCCTAATGCAAAACTTATGGGGGAAAAGAAAAACCTGATGCTTAGTTTCTATTTTGATGTATAGGTAATATTTGTTTCTTCAGATATTTTTTCTGACACCTTTTCACTCATGATCAGGATTACCTCAAGCGTTACAAGAGCTTGATATTAATGCAATGGCCTTGAAACCAGATATGTATGTTAACTCGGAAGGATGATGGTCCTGTTCGATATACTCAAGACCATAATCTCTGCTTATTTCAGAGAAATATTAGCATGTGATATTTTAGACAGTACAATTCCATGAAGTACGATGCAATCATAGTGTATAGAGGGTGAACGGATGTATATTTTTCTTGTATCCTAACTCACAATTTTTCCTGAAAGATTAAATACCAGCGAGACCTATCGATCTTTTTGTTAGATACTGTGTAGATATGATTTGATGCGATATCTGCATTGATGTTGCCCTTCTTAGCAACTGACGTTAATGTCATTACACTGTTCTGCTTAATCCTTATTCTGCCGCGTCGATAAACACAGAATAGAGCACTCTCATTAGTGGGGAGGCTATTGCTGCAATCTATGCTGCTACTATTTATGAATTTATATTCAAATTTCAATCAAATCTGCATCAATAGTTTCATATTAATTTCTCTCATATGCAATACATAGATTAGTACGAAAGTCTCCGTGTTTACATAAATGAGTACAAAGCTCTACATGTAGGTCACGAGTAAGTGAATCTTCGCACGTCACAAAGTCTAGCGTGCTAGTCTACCAGAGATAAGAAAATGTAAAGGTATAAGTTTCTAAAAAGATAAAAATAAAATAAGAAAAGGATGATATCAGTTGAATTTAGCATATGATATCACTTGAACTGAGCTAAGTTCTGTATTGAGAAGTAATTTTGGCTAGCAGCTTTCTAGCTGGTATCTGATTTAAGCACAAAGTGACGCATGATTCCCCTCCAAATAGGCATCAAACCCTGGCACAAACCATCTATAACCATCGAGTGGCAATATAGTAGTACATGATTATGTCCTCGGCCAAAATATAAGTCAATCCATTGTCTCGATCTTGCATAGTCCAACCATCAACAAGTTTGAAGCAGCAATGAGAAAATATCCCATCAATAAAGCACCAGAGAGTCCCAAACAATCGCGGTAGTTTACACGTTTATTCCACGTTGATTATGTCATCGAACAATTCAAATGCAATCTCAAGCTTTCTTTCTCTGCATACTGACTCAACCAACCTCACCCATGATCCAGTCTCCGGCAAGAACCCCGTCTCAACCAAAGCATACAACGAAACAGTTGCGTCAGCCACCTTCCCGATCTCACACAACCCCATCAACAACTGATTCGAGGCTGCAAAATGAGGCCTAAATCCCCTCCCAAGCATCAACCCTAACAACCCCATCGCCTTCTCAATCTCCCTTTTCCCAATAAGGCAATTCATAACAATCCTATAGCTCGCGACATTCAATCTCACACCCTCAAATGGCAACCTCTCCAACAACCGCATCGCCTCCCCAACCCTCTCTGCCTTGCACAACCCTTCAATTACAACATTGTAGGTGACAACATCGGCTTTGACTCCTTTCTCCTTCATCTCCTTCACCAACTCGATCCCCTCGTCCACTCTCCCCTCTCTGCAAAGGCAACCGATCAGCGCGGTATACGCAACCGCGTCAATCTCCAAACCGTTCTCCCTCATTTCGTCGAACACCCCCCTCGCCTCTTCGACCCTCCCATCCCTACAAAACCCATTCATCAAAGCCGAGTAGTTGTACTTGTTCGGCTCACACCCGTTCCTCCTCATAAACCCCAGAATCTCCCTCCCCTTCTCCGACCCGACTTCCCCTGCCTACAGAACCCGTCGATAAGCACGTTATACGTCAACGGGTCCGGCACAATCCTACGCCTCTCAATCATTTCCTCGAACACCCTAAACGCGTCCTTCACCCTCCCCTCCCTACACAACCCGCCCATCAAGGTCGAGTAGGTGACCAAATTCGGCCTGACGGGCATCGACTCAAGCACCCTCAACCCCTCATCGACCCTCCCAGCGCGGCAGCAGCACTTGATGACTATGTTATACACGCAGACGTTCGGGCTCA